CGTTGTATTTTGTTGTTGCATTCAAGCAATTGACGCCGAACTGCCGCTATTTAAAAGTTAAAGTAAAATGCACACACCGCTTTTGCAAGCTATTTAAAAGCAAAGGAAAGCGAGAAAAAGAGGAAACGCCCTCGCCCCCACGGTGATACCGGTATTACCGGTGTTGTCACATGTCGATTAACTGGCGGGAAAATTTCCTCACCGTCACAACCCTATTTCACATGCTCTTTTTTTGGTGTGTTCAGGGACCTTTCGTTCATTAAGATCATAGATGTGGGGCGGCGGTACCTGGTGAACCGGGTTCAGGACCACATACAGAGCCGAATTGTTTACTACCTTATGAATATCCACATCACGCCCCGCTCCATCTACTTGTGCCGGCATGGAGAGAGTGACCTGAACATCAAAGGTCGTATCGGTGGAGACTCAGGGCTCTCGGCCAGGGGAAAGGAGGTAAGCTGTGTAGACCTATTTACATTGACTGATCAATTCTAGTGTAACTAACAAGCACAAAATTGGCTTGACGGTCTTGAAATAACATGCAAGCGTAATGAAATCAGGACAGAAATATTTGTTTGTTTCATAATAAGATTTTAATGTTTAATATATTCACAAGTTCAAAAGTATATGTTATGTATAACATATTCAAAAGTATATATAGCATGCAAATGATTATCTGCTTATCAGTATCAGTACCACCCTAAATTTGAAGTTGTATTGTTAAAAATAAGCTTTTGGACAAGTACCCAGAGAAGTCCAGCTTCTCTACTGTATGTTATCATTAGATCAGATACTAAACAATTCATTCATGTATCTTAAATCTTTCCAAAGAATGACTGTTTGTGTGCTTTTGTGTTAGTTAATAATTTAAACCTGTTTTTTTCACTTTCCTTCTCAGTTTGCTAAGGCTTTGAGCCAGTTTATCCAGTCGCAGAATATACGGGATTTGAAGGTGTGGACGAGTCAGATGAAGAGGACTATACAGACGGCAGAAGCTCTGGGTGTGCCATATGAACAGTGGAAAGCTCTCAATGAAATTGATGCCGTAAGTCTATTGTTAATAAATGGTGAACACACCTTGTCTTTATTTAAGGGACATTGTGTTAATTGACTCTGTTCAATCTATGTGTGTTTAGGGCGTTTGTGAGGAGCTCATGTATGAGGAGATCCAGCAGAGATATCCGCAGGAGTTTGCATTACGTGACCAGGACAAATATCGTTATCGCTATCCCAAAGGAGAGGTCGGTTTATATCAGATCAGTTTGCTTTCAATCAGTGCATTATTTAATTGTGCATTTGATTTGAATTGACATCATAAGGGTTAATGGCCTTATTCACGATAGCGAGATGTATTTTAGCATTCAGTGTTTGTATTGCTCTTTTATGTCCCTTTGGTTACAAGCAGCTTTTCCTCACTCTTTAGTGCATTAAACAGCCATCAAACAAATGTTGCTGGTTGCTAGGCTTTCTGTAAGCCATTATTTTCAGGATTAGTCACCAGTCAAATATGCAGAAATGGAGTAAACAAGTCTGTTTTGACATTGTTTCAAAAATTACTCTGACCGAGTACATAACACACCATTACCCTCAGCCGGCACATACACACTTCCATTTGCTCCTCTCATCTGTCAAGTTGTGAGCGTGTTTGTTCTTCAGAGCAGGCAGTTCTCATTTAGATCAATATCTCAAACCTGTTTACTCCGAGAGCATTAAAGCACCACGCTGTTCTCACTATATTAGATAAAGACTGGGTGCAAGGTCCCGGTGACTTGTGTTTTAAGTGTGCATTTATTTCAGTGCTGTAAATAAGGGTGTGTGTTTTAGGACTGTACTTATATCAATTTTGATTCAGTATCAATTCGGTTCGAAACATTTAGGCTGCTTGTCAGTTTTAGTTATGAGAAACTTAGTTTAGTTTCTGTGAACATGATGTGAACTATTGGGAAAATTCAAACTGTGCATTATCAAAACATTTATGTTTAATTGTAGGCCTCAAACCATTAAATATAATTAGTTTTTATTTCACAAATTAAATGGTCAGTGCTTAGTGAAAATCATGTCAGAGATTGTGTTATTGTATTTAACACATAAAAAATGATATTATTTTAGTACTATTTATTAATATTTTGAACTAGCTTTTATTTTTATATTTTCTATTTTCATCCTAATTTTAGTTTAAGATTTAATTTTGTCATCTTTATTAGTTTTTTTATTTCTATTTATCTTTATTTTTATTTCAGTTTTAGTAAATTTAGTACTTAAACTTTATTTTAAATTTCTTTTATTTCAGTTAGTTGCCAAGGCAACATTTCTAATTTCTGTTTCGAGTTTTCATTTAATAATTTTGTTTTATTCTATTTGTTTCTATTTTATAATGGTATATTATGAATAATAATTCTACAATTTCACAATCTTTTAATGTGACTAATGAACTTTTAGAAGTACAAATATTCAGTGTAGTATAGTATCCCTTGACGTTTCATGTCAGCTGCTGATTTTCTCCAGCCTTTTGTGTTTGCATGTGTGTGTGATGTGATGTGATCATTATATGGTAAATGGAAGAGTGTTGTAATCCAGTATTCTCCTCACAGTCTTATGAAGACTTGGTTCAACGGCTGGAACCTGTGATCATGGAGTTAGAGCGGCAGGAAAACGTTCTAGTCATCTGTCATCAGGCCGTCATGAGATGCCTGCTGGCCTACTTTCTGGACAAGACTGCAGGTAATGACCACTGTGACACCACTCATGAAGATCTTGTCTCTTTTCAAATCTCAGTTCACTTGCGCAGTTGTACTGATGATTAATGCATTTAAAAATGCATTCTAAGTAATTGAAAGTCTTCTACATTTATTTGGTGTGTTTTTCTCCTGCAGAGGAATTGCCTTACCTGAAATGCACTCTACACACAGTATTGAAGTTAACACCAATGGCCTATGGTAAGACACCCTTTCTTAACTAATCTGGATATTATTCTTTAAATAATGCTATTCAGGTCTTGATTGTGAATCAATCTGGGTCTTCAGGTTGTAAGGTGGAGTCAGTCTGTTTGAACGTGGATGCTGTGAATACGCACCGAGACAGACCATCGGTAAGACTCACAAACACACATCCACTGAGCATGTCAGTCAGTTTGGTGGTTAAAAAGCCTCCCCGCCTGTTATCGCTTAAGGGAAAGTGTGCAGTCAGTCTGTAGTTATGCTTGAGAACTCTTCTGTATAATAAAGTGATTAAGCTTTGTAGTCTCCTGAGCCTCCGCTGTCGCAGGTGTTGGGCTCACTGATGATTTGACCTATTAGCATTATTAGGATGTACTGCAGCATGCCAGATTACAATTCACTATATTTTTTCTCTATACTGCTGCTTTTAAATTTTTTTGTCCTGTCCAGTGGTGTGTAGCGTTATTTTAGTAACACTTGAGATACTATTAAAGTTTTATTAACTATTTGAATTTGGTTTTATTTTTATATTGTGTTTCCATTTAAATTTTAGTAATTTTGTTGTGCATTTTTGTCATATTTATTCTCTCTTTTTTTTTTTTATATATGTATATATTTAAAATGATTATATGTATTCTGGATTACATAATCCGATTCCAAAAATTGATTATAGATTATATTATGATTACTTATGTTTACTTTTTGATTGATTACATGATTACATATTATTCACACATTGGCAATAAATTATTCATATTTTTTTTTATTTCCCCTAATTAATCTTTTTTTTTTTTTTTTATGTTTAATTTTTTAAAAAGCCTACTGCTTTTATACATTCAAAAAGTCATAAAATTTATAATTTGACAATTTTTTATTATTTAATTAATTATTAGCATTATCAATTTACGAACCCCCTGCAGTTCCTTCACAAACCCCAGTTCAGGAAACCAGGACGTAATGTAATGTTTAATGCATTCATGTTGTTGGTAACAAAAAATGGAATATATTGTATATATTGTATCCAAGATAATCCTTTTCAAATCAGCGTCATAAACAAGTTAGGTCAAAAGTAATCTAAAAGATCTAAAAGAATATTATTGAAAATATGTAATTATGTGATTATGTGACTACAATTTTCGTCATGTAATTTGAAATAAGTAACAGACTACAATCTATAAGTAATCTACCCAGCACTAGTCCTGTCTATGATGCGAGGTATAAGCTGAAGGTCATTGTTTTGGTCTTGATATCTTTATATGTGTGTGCACTGATGCAAGTTTTTCACAGTTCTATTACATCGTCGCCACCCACTTACCTCATCTGTTAATATGTGGCGTCATTCCCTGTGTTTGCTTCAAACAGAACGTAGATGTGTCACGGCTGCCGGAAGAGGCTTTGTTAACAGTGCCAGATCATCATTGACAGTACCTCGTTCCTCTCTTTCTCACACACCATTATCCCATTCCCGTTCCCCTTTCTTAGGAATGTAGACATTCATACATTCCTAAATGCTTCTACGGCATTTTCTGAAATCAGGGGCAATTTTTACAGCTCAGTAAATGCCTTTTGAATTACAACTCAGAAGTGAAGAACTCTTGAGATGATTATGTACAGAATTAACTTTAAAAAAAAATTAATTCAGTATGCGTTCTTGTGTTCATTGACAACGTGTTAATACTAAATTGCAATTTATCATGAATGCGCACTGATGTTTTTCAGTTCCTGCTGCACATGAATGTAACTGCTGCTATGAAAGAACACCAGTCACTCCAGTAGCATGTGATATTTATTTATGGTGCATATGTAAATTAGTTTGGGATTTGGCTGGTTAATTTGACATTATTGTCTTAAAAGTTAGAATGTGTGTCATGTATAGGTCAAATTTGAAGCAGATAGAGCCTTATCTTGGAAAATTCTAGTGTAACTAACAAGCACAAAATTGGCTTGACGGTCTTGAAATAACATGCAAGCGTAATGAAATCAGGACAGAAATATTTGTTTGTTTCATAATAAGATTTTAATGTTTAATATATTCACAAGTTCAAAAGTATATGTTATGTATAACATATTCAAAAGTATATATAGCATGCAAATGATTATCTGCTTATCAGTATCAGTACCACCCTAAATTTGAAGTTGTATTGTTAAAAATAAGCTTTTGGACAAGTACCCAGAGAAGTCCAGCTTCTCTACTGTATGTTATCATTAGATCAGATACTAAACAATTCATTCATGTATCTTAAATCTTTCCAAAGAATGACTGTTTGTGTGCTTTTGTGTTAGTTAATAATTTAAACCTGTTTTTTTCACTTTCCTTCTCAGTTTGCTAAGGCTTTGAGCCAGTTTATCCAGTCGCAGAATATACGGGATTTGAAGGTGTGGACGAGTCAGATGAAGAGGACTATACAGACGGCAGAAGCTCTGGGTGTGCCATATGAACAGTGGAAAGCTCTCAATGAAATTGATGCCGTAAGTCTATTGTTAATAAATGGTGAACACACCTTGTCTTTATTTAAGGGACATTGTGTTAATTGACTCTGTTCAATCTATGTGTGTTTAGGGCGTTTGTGAGGAGCTCATGTATGAGGAGATCCAGCAGAGATATCCGCAGGAGTTTGCATTACGTGACCAGGACAAATATCGTTATCGCTATCCCAAAGGAGAGGTCGGTTTATATCAGATCAGTTTGCTTTCAATCAGTGCATTATTTAATTGTGCATTTGATTTGAATTGACATCATAAGGGTTAATGGCCTTATTCACGATAGCGAGATGTATTTTAGCATTCAGTGTTTGTATTGCTCTTTTATGTCCCTTTGGTTACAAGCAGCTTTTCCTCACTCTTTAGTGCATTAAACAGCCATCAAACAAATGTTGCTGGTTGCTAGGCTTTCTGTAAGCCATTATTTTCAGGATTAGTCACCAGTCAAATATGCAGAAATGGAGTAAACAAGTCTGTTTTGACATTGTTTCAAAAATTACTCTGACCGAGTACATAACACACCATTACCCTCAGCCGGCACATACACACTTCCATTTGCTCCTCTCATCTGTCAAGTTGTGAGCGTGTTTGTTCTTCAGAGCAGGCAGTTCTCATTTAGATCAATATCTCAAACCTGTTTACTCCGAGAGCATTAAAGCACCACGCTGTTCTCACTATATTAGATAAAGACTGGGTGCAAGGTCCCGGTGACTTGTGTTTTAAGTGTGCATTTATTTCAGTGCTGTACATAAGGGTGTGTGTTTTAGGACTGTACTTATATCAATTTTGATTCAGTATCAATTCGGTTCGAAACATTTAGGCTGCTTGTCAGTTTTAGTTATGAGAAACTTAGTTTAGTTTCTGTGAACATGATGTGAACTATTGGGAAAATTCAAACTGTGCATTATCAAAACATTTATGTTTAATTGTAGGCCTCAAACCATTAAATATAATTAGTTTTTATTTCACAAATTAAATGGTCAGTGCTTAGTGAAAATCATGTCAGAGATTGTGTTATTGTATTTAACACATAAAAAATGATATTATTTTAGTACTATTTATTAATATTTTGAACTAGCTTTTATTTTTATATTTTCTATTTTCATCCTAATTTTAGTTTAAGATTTAATTTTGTCATCTTTATTAGTTTTTTTATTTCTATTTATCTTTATTTTTATTTCAGTTTTAGTAAATTTAGTACTTAAACTTTATTTTAAATTTCTTTTATTTCAGTTAGTTGCCAAGGCAACATTTCTAATTTCTGTTTCGAGTTTTCATTTAATAATTTTGTTTTATTCTATTTGTTTCTATTTTATAATGGTATATTATGAATAATAATTCTACAATTTCACAATCTTTTAATGTGACTAATGAACTTTTAGAAGTACAAATATTCAGTGTAGTATAGTATCCCTTGACGTTTCATGTCAGCTGCTGATTTTCTCCAGCCTTTTGTGTTTGCATGTGTGTGTGATGTGATGTGATCATTATATGGTAAATGGAAGAGTGTTGTAATCCAGTATTCTCCTCACAGTCTTATGAAGACTTGGTTCAACGGCTGGAACCTGTGATCATGGAGTTAGAACGGCAGGAAAACGTTCTAGTCATCTGTCATCAGGCCGTCATGAGATGCCTGCTGGCCTACTTTCTGGACAAGACTGCAGGTAATGACCACTGTGACACCACTCATGAAGATCTTGTCTCTTTTCAAATCTCAGTTCACTTGCGCAGTTGTACTGATGATTAATGCATTTAAAAATGCATTCTAAGTAATTGAAAGTCTTCTACATTTATTTGGTGTGTTTTTCTCCTGCAGAGGAATTGCCTTACCTGAAATGCACTCTACACACAGTATTGAAGTTAACACCAATGGCCTATGGTAAGACACCCTTTCTTAACTAATCTGGATATTATTCTTTAAATAATGCTATTCAGGTCTTGATTGTGAATCAATCTGGGTCTTCAGGTTGTAAGGTGGAGTCAGTCTGTTTGAACGTGGATGCTGTGAATACGCACCGAGACAGACCATCGGTAAGACTCACAAACACACATCCACTGAGCATGTCAGTCAGTTTGGTGGTTAAAAAGCCTCCCCGCCTGTTATCGCTTAAGGGAAAGTGTGCAGTCAGTCTGTAGTTATGCTTGAGAACTCTTCTGTATAATAAAGTGATTAAGCTTTGTAGTCTCCTGAGCCTCCGCTGTCGCAGGTGTTGGGCTCACTGATGATTTGACCTATTAGCATTATTAGGATGTACTGCAGCATGCCAGATTACAATTCACTATATTTTTTCTCTATACTGCTGCTTTTAAATTTTTTTGTCCTGTCCAGTGGTGTGTAGCGTTATTTTAGTAACACTTGAGATACTATTAAAGTTTTATTAACTATTTGAATTTGGTTTTATTTTTATATTGTGTTTCCATTTAAATTTTAGTAATTTTGTTGTGCATTTTTGTCATATTTATTCTCTCTTTTTTTTTTTTATATATGTATATATTTAAAATGATTATATGTATTCTGGATTACATAATCCGATTCCAAAAATTGATTATAGATTATATTATGATTACTTATGTTTACTTTTTGATTGATTACATGATTACATATTATTCACACATTGGCAATAAATTATTCATATTTTTTTTATTTCCCCTAATTAATCTATTTTTTTTTTTTATGTTTAATTTTTTAAAAAGCCTACTGCTTTTATACATTCAAAAAGTCATAAAATTTATAATTTGACAATTTTTTATTATTTAATTAATTATTAGCATTATCAATTTACGAACCCCCTGCAGTTCCTTCACAAACCCCAGTTCAGGAAACCAGGACGTAATGTAATGTTTAATGCATTCATGTTGTTGGTAACAAAAAATGGAATATATTGTATCAATATAGTACAAGATAATCCTTTTCAAATCAGCGTCATAAACAAGTTAGGTCAAAAGTAATCTAAAAGAAGTCAGATTATATTATTGAAAATATGTAATTATGTGATTATGTGACTACAATTTTCGTCATGTAATTTGAAATAAGTAACAGACTACAATCTATAAGTAATCTACCCAGCACTAGTCCTGTCTATGATGCGAGGTATAAGCTGAAGGTCATTGTTTTGGTCTTGATATCTTTATATGTGTGTGCACTGATGCAAGTTTTTCACAGTTCTATTACATCGTCGCCACCCACTTACCTCATCTGTTAATATGTGGCGTCATTCCCTGTGTTTGCTTCAAACAGAACGTAGATGTGTCACGGCTGCCGGAAGAGGCTTTGTTAACAGTGCCAGATCATCATTGACAGTACCTCGTTCCTCTCTTTCTCACACACCATTATCCCATTCCCGTTCCCCTTTCTTAGGAATGTAGACATTCATACATTCCTAAATGCTTCTACGGCATTTTCTGAAATCAGGGGCAATTTTTACAGCTCAGTAAATGCCTTTTGAATTACAACTCAGAAGTGAAGAACTCTTGAGATGATTATGTACAGAATTAACTTTAAAAAAAAATTAATTCAGTATGCGTTCTTGTGTTCATTGACAACGTGTTAATACTAAATTGCAATTTATCATGAATGCGCACTGATGTTTTTCAGTTCCTGCTGCACATGAATGTAACTGCTGCTATGAAAGAACACCAGTCACTCCAGTAGCATGTGATATTTATTTATGGTGCATATGTAAATTAGTTTGGGATTTGGCTGGTTAATTTGACATTATTGTCTTAAAAGTTAGAATGTGTGTCATGTATAGGTCAAATTTGAAGCAGATAGAGCCTTATCTTGGAAAGAAATTTTAGATTATTTTAGATATTTACATAATTTATAGTACATTTTTCAGTTTTGTGAAACACTAAGGAATGTTATGATGTGAAACTCTCCTCTGGTAACTGAGGAGGAGGAAACATCTCTACTGTAATGCCTATTTGCGATGCTAATAAAATGTATTTAAATAGTGAAATCCTGTCTCTCTTTACATTCACCCACAATTCTGTCTGTCGCTGAAGAACAAAGACAACAACTTCTGAAACATCTAAAACATAACTGCACCACACTGCAAAAAAATAAAAAATACGAATATGACAGACAAACAAGATGTGCAGCATATAACAGTGAAAAGGCAATAATGTGATTTATGTCAATGGACTTTGACCTGAACTCAAAGGGCAGTGTCAGGATGGAGATAATGAGCTAATGATATCAGATTCTTTTTTTTTTTTTTTCATTTTGTATCACCTCACCTTTGGTCCCATGACCTTTGACCTCCATGCTATATATATGTGTGTGTGTGTTGTTTAAAAAGAACTTTACCAGTACCAGTACCAGTTCAAAAAAAAATAAAAAATGGTTGTTTTAAGACGGGGAGTTTTTAAAAAACACAACAATATAATGGTTTGTCATTTTCTGTTTTTCTTCCTAGAATGTAAATGTGCTCCGGACTGCTGAAGACGCCCTACAGACCGTCCCGTCTCACCTCTGACCTACAACCCCACCGCCTTCTCACTGTTCACTACACCAGTGTCTCTCATCCAAGCCTGGGTTTGCCATTACAAAAGATCAACCCTGCCTTCAGATAGCCCCTGGTCAGGTTCTGGTCTGTCATGTTAACCGGTTAATTAGTTGCCGTATGATTTCTACTGATTGTATATAGTATATGGTTTCTCACTCCATGTTTTGAAAGAGCCATAATCAGTTTACATGGCAAGAGATACACATAGCCTGGAAGATTGTGTTTGCACTTACGGTGTTTGGGAAATATGCGTTTTGGATGGATGTTACATTTATTACGATGGCTCTTATATGTATATATGTAATATACATATATTTACAGATATGTCAGTTATACCAAATGGGATCCGCAGGTATGTTATTTTGCTGCTCCTTCAATAGTGCTCTCATTTTGTCAAATCTAAAAGGTAATCTCTCTGTTATTTTGAGGGATGGATGACAAAATTTGTGTTTGTGTGCGTGTGAACATACAAATCCGAGAAAACACTCATTGTGTCAAAAAATGTACTTCATCTCCCTCTAATGATAGAGTGACTTTATCTTCATTTTTTTTATGTTCTTTAAGAGTTTAGATATAAATATCGACCTTTCACCTGACATTTAAATTCAGACACTAATTGTTGATTCAAGTGCTAGTTATTTTAAATCAACAGTGAGTTGTTCAGGCAGGTATTTTTATATCATGTAAATTTTATTCAGAATAACTGCAGAATATTCTGACTTTCCAACAGTGATTGTAACTGCATGTTTCTGAGAAATTTTAAGTGCTTGTGAGAGAAACATAAGCTGTTTGTTACATTAACAAATTTGGGAACAAGATAAAAGTCTCAGTATTTGTATTTACGATATTAAATATGTTCAACAATGATTCATCAATATCCATTTCCATATAAGGATTAAAATATTAAAGATTAAAATATAGTATTAAACTCTTCATAAGTTTGTGTCCATGTCCAAAGAGTGCTGTGATATATACTGTGCATTTGAAACAGATCTTGACTATTTAAATGAGATTTTCTGGAGTATGACTGGTAGTATTGTTATGATTGTTTTGATGCCAGTATTACACTAAATAAAGATTTTGAAGTAGTAGTCCATTAATAGTAAATAATCACAGATTTTAATTCATTGAATATACTGTCTTGTGTATCCAAATCGTTTTTCATATTGCTACACCATGTTGACATAACAAAGAGACGTATTGTACAGCCACAACAGCATAATGGGAAAATAATATATTTGATGTCAAATTACTTGGATTTTTTTTTTTAACTGTTGAAAATGCAGTCTGTGTTTGTGTGTTTGAATTTGATCTCCTCCTTGAATAAACCTTTTGTGGTGATTTTCTATTTTTTGTAGTATTTTTTGTGGCTCTAATATACCGGTAGTAAAAAAGAAAAGCAATAATACTTTTTTATGGTTTTGATTGATACGGAATTTATGTCATATATAAATATTCCATCTCAAAGGATAATAACAGTCCTTTGTAGACAAATTAATTTTATTATAATCAAAATAACATCTTGCCGCCTTTGTTGGAAGCACGAAAAGGTTAGACCACTCACACCACCGAGCGTTTGATTGTTTGAAATGAAAAAACCTGGAGTGGATCTGAAGAGGAGGAGGATATGAAGGTAGAATGACGTCAAAAAGATTTGCATGTGCAGGGTAAGAGTTGTGGAAGTGTACATAAGACCGGAGTAATTATAGAACGCTTTGAGCGGGAGAGGGGGAATCTGTCGCTCCGCTCCACTCATATTCTGCACTCCAGACCGTTTTTCATCTACGCGTTGCTTGCTGATACTCAGACTTGATGCTTTAGCTTCTTTGGAAATATTTTAGTTGGCGGGCAAGAAACACGCGAGCTAACTGGCCCATTTAACCTCAAACGTAAGTTACTCTATAATTAATTACGTTTTTCAAGAACATGTTGTATGGAAGCAATATCACACTCGCAATAGTGCGGTGATACACAATATTAATACAGCCTAATGCTTTAATTGTTTCCATATAGTTATAAATATTTAAGCGCCATTTTTTCAACATTATACCTATACATTTCTAGTAATTATACTGGGAAAATCCCCACATACCTCACATACTCACTTAGTCACAGCAAAACACCAGAGCACCTGAAAGAGCCAAAATGCATTTCTATTAAATATTTGGGCAACGTTACTGATAAAGTAACGTCACAAGATGGCGCTATTGCCTTGGAAACACGGTGTGTGCGCTTGAGTGAAAATATTAACATAGTGCTTGTTTTTAAAAATGCCTGATTATGTTACTTGGCTGCTTTGAAAAGATGCTGTTGCACATATATGTCTAAAAAAAAATCATAAATCTTGAATAGGCATATATTAATTCAGAAGTGACGTTGAAATGGTTTGCAAGACTGAAAACAAACATTTGCATAGTGTCTTATTTGACTAAACCAGCAAACTAGTGGATTGCTTTGAGTGGATTTACGCCCAAGGGAAATATATGGGTGTCTTTCGGATTGAGTTACTGACTGTTAGCAGGACACAAACAAGTCATCCTCTTCATGAAGTGCCAAATGTTTATGGCTCTGTGTTGAGCGGAAGTATCTCTCCTCTCGCAGACTTTGGAGATACATTCCTGTCATTTCTCAGTGACTCAGATTTTGGGTTGCACTGCACTTCCTGTAAGCTGCTGTATGGATGTCATAAGAGATGTGTCTGCAGTAAATGACTCTTTTGGCCTCATGGTGTGTTTGTTTGGTGTGTGTGTGTGTGTTTGCGGTTTAGTAAGAGGGCCACAAGGGAGTGCTAGAGGGTCAGTGGAAATGTGTAGAGAAAAACTGCACAAAATGTAAAATCAAATAAATAGGATTAAAATAAATAAATGGATACAAATGAATAAATAAATAAATAAAAATGTATTAAAATAAATAAAAAATAAAGCAAATAAATAAAGCAAATTGGAGTAGAAAACAGTATAAAAATGTAAAAATAAATAATAAAAAAATCTGATTACAATAAAAAACAATTAAAATATTAAAATAATTAATAAAATACATGAAACTAAAATAAAGAAAGAACAAGGGAATGCTAGAGGGTCAGTGGAAATGTTTAAAGAAAACAGTATGAAAATATAAAAATAAAGATGAATAAAAATACAATTAAAATAAATACATAATAAAAAAAATAATTAAATTAAAAATGACAAAAAATAGATAAATAATACATTGAACACTACAGTAAAATAGTAAGCAAAAAAAAAATATATATATATATAATTGTTGTGATATATTTCTGGTTGTTGTGTCCTGATGATGGAGTTTTTCTAGAGGAAGGAGATGGGTGTTCTTCTTCCTGAAATCAATAACCATCTCCACAATTGTTTGTGTTTTTAGCCCCAAGTCGTCGACTGCACACCATGACAGCAGTCTCACTTCCTCTCCATGTAGACTGTTAACAAAACATGAGAGAGAATACACAGTTTCCTATTGGTTAGGAAATCGTGTATTTAATAACTGACCTAATGAGGAATCAGAACTAAACGCAACAAATACATTACCATCTTTAATGTTTTTTTTTTTTTAAAGAAGTCTCATGCTCACCAAGGCTCCATTTATTAGATCAAAATATACAAATACAAATAGATCACAATATTGTGAAATATTATTATTTAAAATAACTGTTTTCTTTTTGAATATATTTTAAAATATAATTTATTCCTGTGATGCAAAGCTGAATTTTCAGAGCCATTACTCCAGTCCTCAATCACAGCCATTACTTAAGACAAGTCAAGTCACCTTTATTTATATAGCGCTTTATACAATACAAATTGTGTCAAAGCAGCACAAGTTTGTCAGTTGACTTGGCCCTGTACAATGCATCCCACTCATTTCAGCTTGACTGCAGTCCCACAGACTTATGGGTGGGGTGAGCAAACAGTGCTTAAGAATGTCATTATTGGAGGGGAGAAACCATGTTTTGTTCTCCTAAAACAAATAATTGGATTGAAGGATAGCTCATGAGAGCTGGTTTGAGTCTAAATTTGCATAGTAAATACAAGCTGTATGTATATAGTAGTTTTAAAATAAAATAGTTGTACAAAAGATGTTGTTTTATGGATTTGGTTTTGCATACATGAAATGCCACATAATGATGATAAAACTATTATTATTATAATTTATATGTAATTATGTTAAAATACCGATTTTTATCAAAATCATTGCAAATTTATTTTCATCCTTGTTTGATGCCATTTTTCGACGTTGATACCAGTATAAATACATATAAAGCCAGTTTCATGGTCGCACATCCAACCAGGGCATGAACAGAAATTTAATTACTTAATTACTACTTCTTGATCCCAGTATATATTACAGACACACTCAAAGTATGCTGACAAAGTACTGAAAGAATTGTTTTTAATGAAATAATTTATTAATACATTATCTTCCGTTCAAAATTAGAGTTCCAGGACTCTTTACAATAAAGTTAAAATGTTCTTTCATCTGTACTGTACATTCAAGACATTGAACCACTGTTTAATACATCTCGAGGGAAAAAAGGAAGAGGTCAGATAAATATCACATCGTCTGTATTGCACATGAAAAGGCAACCATTATATAAGAACATGTCTTCAAAAGGCACTACACGCTTAAAAATAAAGATGCTTCAAAAGGTTCTTCAAGCGATGCCATAGAAGAACCATTTTTGGTTCCACAAAGAACCATTCAGTCAAAGGTTCTTTAAAGAACCATCTCTTTCTTACCTTTTTGTAATCTGAAGAACCTTATTTCGCCACAAAGAACCTTTTGTGAAACAGAAAGGTTCTTCAGATGTTAAAGGTTCTTTATGGAACCATTTAGACAAAAAAGGTTCTTCTATGGCATCGTGAAGCACCTTTATTTGTAAGAGTGTAAATAGCTTTGATTTACTTCAGTTTAGAAATGTATTCGGTTTGGAATTCAAAAAAAGATTTACTTACATGATTCCAGTAATGGTTATGTTTAGGGGTGGACCTTCATAGTTTCTAAAAAATCGTATGATTTGCGTCATATGAAATTGACACCTCGTTAAATAGTTACATCTTCTATGAAATCAGGTTGGAACTCAGAAGTTTCTGTCTGTATTATTAAACTCAATGTGGTCCAAAACTTTCAAGCTTCAAAAAAAAACAAAAAAACATTAAGGTGTCTGTATAATTTCTATAACTGAATTGTATAACATTTCCTATTGTCATGTAAGTTTTTCAAAGCTTTCATCTAATATTTATATTTTACTTAACCTTTATTTATTTCAGCTTTATTTTGATGATTTTTCATAGTTTTAATTTTAGTTCACAATAACAACACCCATCCTCATATTGTCACGGAAACACCTGCCTCACCAGCCGAATCAGCCTCCTACACCCGCTCACAATCACCTGATTACTGATCACGGACACCTGCACCCATATACCACACCAGTCAAATACACACTCACCTCAGTCACTCGTCGGCTGGTCTCAAGGTTACAAGCTTCTCCGCATGGGTTCCTTGCCTCCCGATCTGCCTACCAAACCTCGGATTCCTCAGTTCTCGGCCGGAGGACCAGAGTGCCGACCCCAGATAAGACTGTGTTCTATGCTTCCATTTATCCCTACGTTTGACTCTTTTCTGTTGGAAGCTCCTCCTCAGTTCCTATTAATAAACTCTCTGCCTTACGTTAACCTGTTTGTTTGCCTCTTTGTCCCGGATGTGACAG